GGTGTCCACACTATTTGGAACATAAGAGCAAGTTCCAAATAGTGTTGACACCTTCAAACATGGTTCAACCTATACATGAAGAGCTACCTCTTAGTAGTAAGACAGTTGCAAATTGAGGCAGGGGAGGGTCAGAAAGTGAGCGATTGCAAATTGGGGCAGGGGAGGGCCAGAAAGTGAGCGATTATAGCAGCAATGATGAGACAATTAAAATCAATAATGAATGAGAAGTATACAATGTTGTGGATAGCCTACAATGCGGTGTTTTTCAGTTTCCTACGGACAGGAGGATTCACTGTTCAAAGCATTGGGGGTAATGATCCAAAGGTAAATCTCAATATTGGGGATGTGTCTGCTAATTTCCCATTTAATCCAGGTGTCTTTCAGGGCTATACTAGATTATTTAGGAAAACGAGGAATGATCGAAAACGGTCAACCTTTAAAAAAGGCCAATTTTGTATCAAGTCTGAAAGAAGTTGGAGAGACTGGGCTATAATTCGGGCCACAGTTTTAGGGCAGAGGCAGCTACTACAGCGATCAAGGTAGGGGTGGAGGACTCAATTATCAAAGCCCATGTGCAAGCGGGAGAGCTCAGCCTGTATGCAAGGCCGGAGGACTTGAGAGGTATGGTGAGAAGGATGGCAAAGGTACCCAGAGAAGACAAGGTGGGACATAATACATGATTAGAGTGGACATGTAGGGGCATGTACTGAGAGGTTGAACTGGTTCTGTGTACATATATATACATTGTATATTATGGATTATTGGGGTGAGCTTGGGCGAGCCCCACTGTAGCAGAAGTCTTCTGTATGTATGTATGTGTGCATTCAGTCACGCCCATATTTTGGTCACGCCCCATGTATGCACTACAATCTACTTATAAGTCAATGATCTAATGCGGTAGCATCATTCTAATGAAATATTGTAAAACACATGTGCATGTATGAAGCGAGAAGAAAGCTTAAGATCATCGCCATCGACCTAGCTAGAATAAAAAAGATGTTCTTCTTCTTGCTCAGAGGGCTATGATGACATCCCAGACTCAAGATTTAACTGGAAAAGCAGCCTAGCTAGCAGCAGAGTCAGCACAATACCACAAATCACTCAAGCTCGACCCATTAATGCATTGCATTCGACTATAGTAGAGCCACACTGACTTTGTCAACTTTGAATTGAAATAACTTTCTTATTTAATATATTACAGACAGCGGCTTTTTTCCATGATACTTTTTATGAGAAA